GACCATTGGTTTGCCGATTACTTAGAGGGTAGGGATCCGGTTGATTGGCACACGTTTGTGGAAATGGTTTTGGAAAGGTTTTGTGAGGAAGAAGAAGAGAGCTTGGTAGAGACTTTCAACAAACTGAAACAGGAGCACTCGGTGGATGCTTATAGGGATAAATTTGAAGAACTCAAGGCATTTATGTTGCACACGAATAGAACTCTATCGGAAGCATACTTCATTAACAGTTTCATCAGTGGCTTAAAGGATGAGATCAAGAGCATGGTGAGGCTGCTCAAACCTCAGACGTTGAAAGAGGCTATGAGCAAGGCAAAGCTGCAGGAGAAGGCCATAGAGCAATTGAATAAGAGCTTAAGGCAGATGCAGAAGAACACTGGGCTGGTCAACTCCACTCGTACTAATAAGAGTGTGTATAGTGATTTCTCAGCTAAACAAAACCCTCTAGTAGAAGAGAAATCAACACAAGTGAAAAGACTCTCTACTGCAGAATGGGAAGAGAGGAAGAAGAAGGGTCTTTGCTTCAACTGTGATGAGAAATTCACTTATGGTCATAAGTGCAAAAGACTCTTTATGATTCTGGGAGAGGAACTACAAGAGGAATCCAGTGGAAGTGAGACCATGGGGGAGGATAGGGAGGAAGAATTAGAGTTATATAAGATTTCAGTGTATGCTTTAGCTGGCCAGGTATCTCCTACTACCATCAAGTTGGTAGGAATGGTGAATACACAACCTATATCTATTCTTGTGGATACTGGCAGCACCCACACATTCTTAGATCCCAATACTGCTAAGAGGTTGAAGTGCATACTTGAGCCAACCTCTCATTGGAGAGTTTCTGTAGCAGATGGAAGGAAGATTTTTAGCAAGTATAAATGTTCACAGTTCAAATGGGCTGTAGGTCAACATCATTTTCAGGCTGGAGTCAGACTATTGGAGCTTGGAGGTTGTGATTTAGTGATTGGTGTGGATCTTTTGAGGCATTTAGAACCTATTACTTTTCATTTCTCCAAGCAAAGGATCACTGCACACTTGAATGGACAGCCCATTATTTTGCAAGGTCCTCAGCCAGCAGTGTCTGTGCAAGCCATTTCTGGAGAAAAGATGGAAACCTTGATTAAGAAAGGCAAGGTTATGATTGGTTGTGTCTGTATGATAGCTGGAATGGATGGTGAGGGTCCTAGAGAATCTAGTCCTGAAGCAATCACTGGGGTTCTGCAAGAGTTCTCATACATATTCCAAGAACCTACTGCCCTACCACCTAATAGAGGCTGTGAACACTCAATTACCATTAAACCAGAGATGCAGCCATTTAAGATGCAGCCTTATAGATACCCTTATATTCAGAGGAGAGAGATTGAGACCATGGTAGAGGAAATGTTGAAAAGTGGTATTATTCAACACAGCACCAGCCCTTTCTCCTCACTTGTCCAATGGTGAATACACAACCTATACCTATTTTGTGGATACTGGCAGCACCCACACATTCTTAGATCCCAATACTGCTAAGAGGTTGAAGTGCATACTTGAGCCAACCTCTCATTGGAGAGTTTCTGTAGCAGATGGAAGGAAGATTTTTAGCAAGTATAAATGTTCACAGTTCAAATGGGCTGTAGGTCAACATCATTTTCAGGCTGGAGTCAGACTATTGGAGCTTGGAGGTTGTGATTTAGTGATTGGTGTGGATCTTTTGAGGCATTTAGAACCTATTACTTTTCATTTCTCCAAGCAAAGGATCACTGCACACTTGAATGGACAGCCCATTATTTTGCAAGGTCCTCAGCCAGCAGTGTCTGTGCAAGCCATTTCTGGAGAAAAGATGGAAACCTTGATTAAGAAAGGCAAGGTTATGATTGGTTGTGTCTGTATGATAGCTGGAATGGATGGTGAGGGTCCTAGAGAATCTAGTCCTGAAGCAATCACTGGGGTTCTGCAAGAGTTCTCATACATATTCCAAGAACCTACTGCCCTACCACCTAATAGAGGCTGTGAACACTCAATTACCATTAAACCAGAGATGCAGCCATTTAAGATGCAGCCTTATAGATACCCTTATATTCAGAGGAGAGAGATTGAGACCATGGTAGAGGAAATGTTGAAAAGTGGTATTATTCAACACAGCACCAGCCCTTTCTCCTCACTTGTCCTTTTGGTCAAAAAAAATATGGCACATGGAGGTTCTGCATTAATTACAGGAAGTTGAATTCCATCACTGTCAAAGATGGATATCCAATCCCTATCATAGATGACCTACTGGATGAACTGTAAGGAGCTAAGATATTTTCTAAGATTGACCTTAGAGCTGGCTATCACCAAATCAGGGTGAAGCAAGAGGATATCCATAAAACTGCCTTTGTTACAGCTTCTGGCCATTATGAGTTTAAAGTCATGCCATTTGGATTGACTAATGCACCTGCCACTTTTCAGTCTCTCATGAATGAGATCTTTAGAGCTTATCTGAGGGAATTCATACTGGTTTTTTTTGATGATATCTTGGTGTATAGTAAGGATCTCACCACTCACATCCATCATCTTCACACCACAATGAATGTCCTGAGGCAGCATCAACTCTATGCTAAATCCTCCAAGTGCAGCTTTGGGCAGCAGCAGATTGAGTATTTGGGGCACATTATTACTGCTGATGGGGTAGGTGTTGATCCTAGCAAGATTAGTGGGGTTAAGGACTGGCCTCAACCTACTAATGTCAGAGCTCTGAGGGGGTTTTTGGGCTTGACTGGTTACTATAGAAAAATTTTCAAGCACTATGGTATTATTGCTAAACCACTCACTGATCTCTTGAGGAAGGGTCAGTTTGAGTGGAGTGAAGCAGCTACTGTAGCATTTGATCAGCTGAAACAAGCTATGTCTACTACTCCGGTATTGCAGCTCCCTAATTTCTCTAAAGTCTTCATTGTTGAGACGGATGCTTGTGATTCAGGTATTGGGGCTGTTCTTATGCAAGAGGGCCATCCTTTGGCTTTTCTCAGTAAAGCCTTAGGTCCTAAAAGTTTGGGACTTTCTGTATATGAGAAGGAATTCTTGGCAATTCTGTTGGCTGTCCAAAAGTGGAATGATTACCTGGTTCATGCCACTTTTGTTGTTAGAACTGATCAAAGGAGCCTCAAGTATTTGCTTGAGCAGAAGATTACCACCCATATTCAGCAGAAATACTTGGCTAAACTTCTAGGCTTTAGTTACAAAATTGAGTATAAAAGGGGTTGTGAGAATCAAGCTGCTGATGCTTTATCCAGAAGAGATGTAGAGTGTTCTTCTCAGGGTAGACTTGACTCTTCCATCACCATGCTCACTGCAGTGCAGCCTCTTTGGCTGGAAGAGGTTCAAGTCAGTTATGAAGGAGATGCCTTAGCCCAAGAAGTGATAGCCAGCCAAGCTTTGAGACCAATGGATGTCTCTGAATTCCACTATATTGATGGCTTATTGAAGTGGAAGGGCAGAATATATGTGGGGTCCAATGGCTCTTTGAGGAGGCAGATTCTAGAGTTTATGCATGGGTCTAGTTTGGGGGGTCATTCTGGGGTCCAGAATACTTTCAAGAGGGTGCAAGGGGTGTTCTTATGGCCTTTCATGAGAAATGAAGTGAAGCAAATGGTGAGTATGTGTGGCATTTGCCAGCTCAATAAGCATGAAACTAGTAGAAGTCCGGGGTTGCTGCAACCACTTCCTGTACCTTCTCAGGCTTGGTCCTAGATCACAATGGATTTTATTGAAAAACTACCAGTATCTAGGGGCAAGGACACTATTTGGGTGGTGGTGGATAGATTTACAAAGTACAGCCATTTCATAAGCCTAAGTCATCCTTTCACTGCTTCTTCGTTGGCTCAAGTCTTCATGGAAACAGTTTATAAGTTGCATGGACTGCCTACTTATATGGTGTCGGATAGAGACAAGATATTCACCAGCACATTTTGGAAGGAGCTATTCAAAGCTTTAGGGGTGCAGCAGCAGTTGAGTACTGCGTATCACCCCCAAACCGATGGACAAAGTGAAAGGGTAAATCAGTGCTTGGAGAATTATCTAAGGTGTATGTGTGGGAAGTTTCCCAAGCAGTGGAGTTCTTGGTTGGCATTAGCGGAGTGGTGGTACAATACTAGCCACCATTCGGCTATACATATGTCACCTTTCCAAGCACTCTATGGATACCAACCCCCACAAGTAGGGTTTGGCCCATGGATAGAAGTAAAGACTTCTGGAGTGGATCAATGGTTGAAGGACCATTCTAAACTCACTCACCATCTCAAGGAATTATTGCAAGCGGCAAGAGAAAGAATGAAGGTCCATGCTGACAAGCATAGGGGGGAAAGGAAGTTTGAGGTAGGAGATTGGGTCTATCTCAAGCTTAAGCTCTACAAACAGTTGAGTCTCAAAAGAAGCCCTATATGGAAGATGATGCCGAAGTATTGTGGTCCGTTTGAAGTGATTAGCCGAATAGGGGAGGTGGCGTATGAGTTAAAATTGCCCCCAACGGCCAAAGTGCACCCGGTATTTCATGTGTCCCTACTAAAGAAGCATGTTGGGCCGAAAGAGAGGGTGGCAGCAGACATGCCTCCTCTAACTGAGACTGGAGAACTCATGGTGGTTCCGTTGAAGATACTTGGCCGGTGTATGGTGAAACGAAACAACGCCGCCGTGGGCCAGATGTTGGTGCAATGGGCCCACCTACCGGAAGAGGAAGCAACGTGGGAGGATGCAGCAGAAATGTTGTAGAAATTTCCCATGTTTCCAACATGAGGTCATGTTGCTTCTAAGGGGGGTGGATTGTAACTGTATTAACAGAACAAGGGCGAAACGGCGTCGTTTAGGGAGAAAACGTGAGTCACTTAAAGAAACGCGTTGTGGGAAAACGCGTTTAGGGGAGTTGATGGCCAGCTGAATCCAGCGAATCAAAGGACAACACGTGGCAAGGCAGTTAGAACTAAATTTAGCTTAAAAGTGTTAGTATTCTATAAATAGTAGTTTAGTTAGTATTAATGAGCTGTCGATTAAGTAGAGAAATATATTCTCTGTAATTCATCATCAATTGGGGAAGAATATCTGATTTTGGGAAAAGGGAGCTGAGTTCTTAACACAACTCCCCATTGAGCGAAAGGTATGGGACTGTCAATCGGTTGCATCAGTGCTGCTAGGAGATGATGGATGTTAGCATGTTCTTGGCAAGGCTTGCATCTCTGCACTAGTCTTTTCGCATCTTCATGCATGGTGGGCCAATAGTAACCTTGTCTCAATATTTTGAGAGCTAAGTTTCTTCCACTTAAATGATTACCACAGATGTCTTCATGTACTTCCCGAAGCACATAGTCTGCTGCTGATGGGTTAAGGCATTTAAGATAGGGGAAGGAGAACCCTCGCTTGTAGAGATCTTCATCTACCATTAGGAAACGAGCCGCTCTTATCTTTATTTTCTTCGCTTGGGCGATGTCAGTCGAAAGTTCCCCGCTTTTGAGATAGTTTGTAATGGGGGTGATCCAACAGGGTTCGTTCTCTACAGCGCAATTCACTCCGTCGGTGGAGACTATTTCTGGTTGGGAAGCCGTGAGGAGGGTGATTTTCCGGCTTCCAATGCTTGCCATGGAACTACCAAGTCTAGCCAACTTGTCTGCATCAATATTATTGGCTCGTGGTACTTGCTTTATCTCACAGCTATCCAATTCTGAGAGGAGGGTAAGTGCAAGAGCAAGATACTTTGCCATGGATTCTTCTTTGGCCTCATAGGTCCCAAGGACTTGGTTGACCACTAACTGGGAGTCGCTATGTATTATGAGTTTCCGAGCTCCAGCTGCTAAAGCAAGGCGGATACCAGCGATCAAAGCTTCATATTCGGCTTCGTTATTAGAGGCTTTGAAATCAAATCGTTGAGCATACTCGAATTCATCACCATCTGGGCTTGTTAATACAATACATGCGCCTCCTCCTGTAGCGGTAGAGGATCCATCGACATTGACGGTCCAAATGGGTATGGAGGTGCTCTCCTCCGATGTAGTCATCTCTACTACAAAGTCTGCCAGGATTTGAGCTTTGATGGCTGGGCATGGTTTGAATTCAACCCCATATTCACTTAGCTCTATAGCCCATTTAGCTAATCGTCCGGAAGTCTCGGGACTTCTCAATATTTGTTTAAGGGGATAGTTGGTGAGAACTATCACCTGATGCGATTGGAAGTACGGACGTAACTTTCTGGCTGCATTGATGAGGGCGAGAGCAAGTTTCTCCATATTGGTATAGCGGTGCTCTGAGCCTTGAAGAGCTCGGCTTAAGTAATATATCGGTTGGTGACCTTTTTCACCGTCCTGAATGAGCACTGCGCTAATGGCATCAGCAGAAATAGCCAAATATAGAAAGAGGGTATCTCCTGGCTGGGGCTTCGTTAGTAGATGTGGGGAAGTAAGATATGCTTTTAATTATGTGAAAGGTCTTTGGCAATCCTCATTCCATTCAAACTTTTTCCCACATCTTAATACCTTCAAGAAAGGAAGGCCTTTATCAGCTGATCGGGATATAAATCGGTTTAGGGCTGCCAAACAACCGTTAAGTTGTTGGACCTTCTTGATCGATGTGGGAGGGGCCATGGAAGTGATAGCTTCAATCTTTGCTGGGTTAGCTTCAATTCCTCGTTGTGATATCATGTACCCTAAGAATTTTCCGCCTCGAACTCCGAAAGAACATTTTAGGGGATTGAGCTTCATCTTGTATTTACGTAAGATGGAGAAGCATTGACTTAAATCGGTTAGGTGATCCGCTACTTTAATACTCTTGACGAGCATGTCATCAATGTATATTTCCATGTTCTTACCAATCAAGTCTGCGAACATCATGTTCACCAGGCGTTGGTAAGTAGCTCATGCATTCTTGAGACCGAACGGCATGACTTGATAGCAGTAGATGCCTTGGTCTGTAGTGAAGCTAGCTCTCTCTTGGTCTTCTGGGGCGAGCAATATTTGGTTGTATCCTTGATATGCATCAAGGAAGCTGAGAAGTTCGCACCCTGAGGTTGAGTCTATGAGCTGGTCGATCCTTGGTAAAGGAAAAGGATCATTCAGGCATGCTTTGTTGAGGTCGGTGAAGTCTACACATAGGCTCCACTTGTCTCCGGGTTTAGGTACTAATACCACATTGGATAACCACTCGGGATATTGAACCGATCTAATGTGGCCTGCATCTAAGAGTTTTGCAACTTCCTCTTTGATATGTTTGTTGTGCTCAGGACCAAAAGTCCTTTTACATTGCTTGACTGGTTTCAATCTTTTGTCAACGTTTAGTTGATGCAATGCTACTTTGGGAGGAATTCCCGTCAGATCTTGATCTTTCCAAGCAAACACATCCCCATTGTGTCTAAGGAAGTTAATTAGCTGATTCTCCACTTCTTGATCTAGGTCAGATCTGATGCGGAGAAGCTTAGAATTATCTCCGGGTATGAGTTCTACTGATTTTAGCTCTTCAACAGCTGCTAGCTTGGTGGCGTCGTCAGGTACGCTGATTAAGATTTCTTTATCAGCTTCGATGACTGCGTTGACCCATTTTCGCTTATCGTGCCTCGGGGTGTCGTCTCCTCTCCCTAAAGGATTAGGTTTCTTAGATGGCTCACGTAGAGCTCTTGAATAACATTCTCGAGCGAGACGTCTGTCTCCAAGTACCTCTCCCATTCCATAAGGAGTGGGGAATTTCCACTTTTGGTGGTAAGATGAAGGCACTGACTTGAATGTATGGATCGCTGGCCTCCCTAGGATGATGTTATAAGGGGATGGTTTGTCGACAATGAGGAATTTTATCATCTTCGTAATTCGACAAGGATTTTCCCCTAAGGAGATAGGTAACTCCACTTCCCCCATGGATAAAACGCCCTCTCCCGTGAATCCTTTTAGTGGTGTACTAATGGGGCTAAACCGGGCGTTATCTATGCCCAGCTGCTTGAATGTGTGGAGATACATGATGTCGGCTGAGCTTCCACCATCCACTAATATCTTCTTAACCAAGAAGTTGGCCACCGATGCTGTGATTACCAACGCATCGACATGATCTTCATCTGGACCTTCGAGGTCCGAGGAGTTGAAGACTATGCTATGATCAGGTCTTCGTATCTGATAGGCAGATGCGGCTGAAGAAGCATGCTTTTGATTCATATGTGTTGATCGAGCGAGGGTGCGTCTCGCATTTTGTAAGTCGCCATCTGCCGGTCCTCCGGAGATAAAGGCAATGACTCCCCGGGTGGGTTGGTTATCATTGTTATCTGGGTCGCGCCGATGACCCCCCTTCTCCCGTCGTTGCTGTTGATCTCGATTGTTATCCCGGCGTGGAAGATCATCACGGCGCTTATTTCGAGGCTTATCAATGTATTCGCCTGAGTGGCCTTGCTTGATCAGCCTCTCAATCGCCAATTTGAGTTGTGCACATTCCTCGGTAGTATGTCCTTTATCTTTGTGGAATCGACAATAGCGATCCGATCTTTCTCGTTTCGCATTGGGCTGCATTGGGCGTGGAGGCTCTGCCAGACCTTTTTGCTCTATCACATGAAAGATTTCAGTGAGGCGAGTGTTGAGTGGAGTGAATCGATTATAAGATGGAGATGATTGGCCTCGAGGTGGGGGTGGAGGACGTCGATCATCTCGTCTCCTAATATCCGGGCGGTCATCTTCTCTCTTCCTCTTGGGAGGAGCATTGGCAGAGGCTTCCTCTATGCGTATGTATTTTTCAGCTTGATTTAACAACTCATCTAAGTTGCCAGGAGGCCTTTCTGCGATAGATTCTTTGAACCTACCTGACTTCAGGTTTTGTTGCATGATCCCTGAGAGCATGTCTTGTCCTACACTGGGAACTTCATGAACAGCTTCCACAAAACGCCTGATGTAGTTGCGGAGTGTTTCATTGTCTCTCTGTACGATAGAGAAAAGATGTGCTGGAGTTTTAGCGTATTACTTATTGATGGCGAATTGGTTGGTGAAACGCAATGATAATCGAGCGAAAGTGTCGATTGATCCTGTGGGTAGAGCATTGAACCAATTCATGGCTCTCTTGGAGAGAGTGGTGCGGAACATCTTGCACATTGCTGCATCTGTTGGGCCATATAAATCTGCCATAGCGTGGAACTTCTCTATGTGTTCCTGCGGGTCGGTGGTTCCTTCAAGCTGAGGTAAGCCTGATAATTTCACTCCTTGAGGCAATACCTCGTTGAGAATGTTCATGGTGAAAGGACTGCGCCTTGCTGGGACTGGCGCTCTTCCGTCAATTGGGTTGTTCACTTGGGGGAAATAGTTTTGGCGAGATACTCTACTATTTATCTCGTCTTCTCCTTCATTAAGGAAATGAGCTCTTCGTGGAGATGGATCACCCCGTTGGGGTGAATGGTGGCGTTGCTGTCTGGGCTGTGGCTCCCTGTGATTGGTAGATAGCTGCATCCGGGACCGTGGATCCGAGGTGGATGAGGACACACTTATCCGATTGTCGTTGTTCTGGGCCGGTTGCTGTACCCTGGGTGGCACTGCGAGTGGAGCATTAACTGGGATCGCGGGGGGAGCGTTTGCTGCCATCGTGGCGATGTATTGTGCCACCGCATCAGTGGCGGCGCGAGTAGAAGCTTCTGTTATCATTCGTTGAAGTGCTTCCTCGGTTATTTGAACCGTTCGGGAAGCAGGTAGAGGTGGAGCCTGTAATGGAGGATCGGCGAGTGGTGGGTCCCGAGGGAGAATCACCTGAACCTCGCAGGGTGGATCCGGAGCACGTGGAGGAGGTGGCAAGCCAGAGCCTCCTCGAATTGGGAGGTTGTTAGCTGTGTCATTCTCTCTCCGAGTGGATGACTCAAGAGGATCTTACTGGCTACGTGATCTGGTTTGCATTCCCACAGACGGCGCCAAAATGATGATGTTAAAAATAAATCACCTGGGGTGTTAAAGCTGGGAGAGCAAAGTAGGTCACGTGCTCACGAGCTAGATGGTCCTGAAACACTTTAATTAACTCAACAATCCTGCGAACAGAAAACACGTAATCTAAGCCGGGGGTTGATCCGGCAGAAACCCCTCGGACGCTCAAGTCAGACGTGAGGATAATCGGTAATAGCCGAGAGAATTTGAGTAGAAGAAGTGATTGAATAATAAAAGTGTACCTTCATTAAATGAATTTAAGTTCTATTTATACTTTATTGATTGGGCCGAGATCAATTTATCGGGCCCAACCTTATTTGGATGTGATTGGGCCTCCGTAGAAATAGCTATTAAGTTGGGCATGTGGCCCAGTAAATATGGGTCTATTGGGCTGGGCCAATAGTCATATCAGGTCAATATCGTGATTTCAAAATCAACGCAATTTCTTTTGCTTTTCTATTGGTACTTAATAAAGCTTATCAACATGCTTTATCGTAAAATGTATATATGACCAATCATTTTTCATATTTCTCATCTCTCTTCCACTTCTAATGGTGAAATAAAATTTATAGTGAATAAGCTTGAGCACCATGATAGCTATTCATGTCAAAATATCTCTTTGAATTTTTTAATATTGTTGTTTTTCACTTTCAAAGAATAACAACAATTGAACGAATTTTGTATTAGCTCACAACTCGTATTATAGTACGATATGCTATTAAAATTATTTATTACGAGTGCAACTTGAGTTTTTATGTTGCCACTTCATGATCATAATATAGATCCAAAATATTGGTAGCATTCCAAGTCACAAACTTAGAGAATATTTTCTCTTATAAATTTCCATTATATGCATCTTCAAGACACATATAGCAACATGAATATGAAAATAGAACAATCATGTTGATAACGTGTTGAGAAACTAGGAAATATTATACAAGAATAAGAGAGCAATGTAGGGAGAAGAGAGATATTATTGCATATATTCAAGTGTACAAAATACAATACATTGCACCTAATTTATAGGAGTAGAAAAGCTAGTCAAAGGTCATGAGTTACAAGACCTTGATGATGAATAACGGTGGAGGTACTGTGGATTTAATGGAGAGTGTAATGGTGGTCATCCATCACCTCCAAGAATTCACAATATATTAATGAAATTACTTAATTGACCTCATTTTTTTATACATATAAGCATGTTTGTAGGGCAATTTTGAACACACAGAAAAAGGAAGAAACCTTATAACCATTCATCCTTTTATAATAAATAATAATAATAATAATAATAATAATAATAATAATAATAATAATAATAATAATAATAATAATAATAATAATAATAATAATAATAATAATAATAA